TTTGTTTCATGATTTCTATTAAGAAACATATGTCAGGATTAGTAAAGATTTACCTATTAATTAAAAGAAACAGTTCGAGAATTATTTTTAAAGGAATCAGAAAAATAAAATAAATAAAACAAAATAAAATTTTAAATTTTAAATAAAACAAATCTTAATAAAAAAAAAATTAATATAGAAATTACAATAATGGGGGTTACTATAGAAATGATGGAAGAAGGTTTTCCTTCAGGTCTGGCGGCTAAGTATGAATCCAACCATGACATTACGTCAAGATCTTGGCTAATCACACTTGGGGACTCGCGAAAGGGAAAAGATTACTTGAGTCTGCAAATAAGCATGAATGCCAATCTTGACAGTTATCAAGATCTCGGCTAATCAAACTTAAGGACTCGCAAAAGGGAAAAGGTTCAAAGGAGAGGAGATATAAATGTTTAATAAGCAGAGATAATTTAATAATACAATTAATAAATATTTATGTATGGATACTAATTAAAGATTCAAATTATTAGCAACAAACTGTTTCCTTTGGAAGGAAGGAAAGAAGAATGAGGAAATGATATGAGAAAAAAAAAACAAGAAAAGAAAAGAAAATTTTTAGTGGACTCACTACTCGTTGTGTGCGAAAATGACGAATTAAAAAATTTCGTTGGATAAGCGAACCAAGGTCTATCTTGTGGACTCGGCTGTGCGGAAAGGGTGGCTTGGAGATTCGCTCAGTTGTTGTAATGTTGATTGTGATATTAATTCACTTGACACTAAATATCACTTATCACCAATGATATTCTAAGTCTTTCGATTGTATGGGAAACCGCACTCTGCACTCGCACAACTGTAAGAGGCGCGAAGAAAGAAAAAGGAACCGTGGAGATTAAGAATTGAGTATTTACTGCATCGGAAACTGAAGACAAAAATTGAAAGTTGATTGAAAGTTAAAAGCAGACTCGGTAGAAGGCTTCGGATCGAGAGGCGAAGACGAACTAATTTTTCTGAGGGAAGATTTCGCGTACGTCGAATCTTGGCGTCTCTTCGCGTACCCTCTCCATTAGGCAAGCAATATTCTTTTTTAACGAATCAATCTTTAAAATGGTGCCCCTCTCATGAGTTGAGGGCGTCTCCCTTCCAAAAGAAGGTCCAAGAGTTTGCGCCTATTGGTGTAGGCTTTTGTTTTTAAAAATTAAGTCTCGCCCACTGGAGAGTCCGCCATGATCGGCCAAGTTGACAGTTTTATTGTTCACTTGAGTTTTATCTCAAACAGATAACGCGCAAGGGTGGTCTAGCAGGCGAGCACGTAGTATCGAATTTCGCGAGTTTCAGTCGCGGGTCATAGTTACATCAATAAGATAACACTCTAGTTCTTAGAAGGGCCTTTATTCGAGGCTCTTCCCGTAACGCTTTTTCACTAGAGGACTTCCAAGAAAAAATATTATTTGGTCTATTTATTTGTCTCTTGCATGTGCACTGTTTAGATTTCAAGCCTTCTCA